TAAAAGCACAAGAGCTAGAGTCTGGAAGTGGTTTCGTGTTACTCAGCAGCCCTGTGTGCCGGGCAGGCAGCAGCGGATACAAGCAGAAGCCCCAGCGCGCCCGCACCGCTGCGCCCCAGGCAGGTGCAGAGGCACCTCCGCACTCGTGCTGGGCTGCCTCACCTGGCCCTCGTGGGCACTGCGGTTTTGGAGGCCGGGCGCCCCAGCTCCAGACCGGGTGGCCCCAGCGCGACCACCAACGAAGCCCCTCTGGCTCACCCCGGGGCGTGCGGCTCCAGCTGCGTCTGCGACGCACCACCCTTCCTATGAGGTTAGCACTCACTAACGTGCACCTACCTATCAACAGAGCTAGCGTCACCCGCGTGTCCGCGGCATTCACAAACCCGTAACTGCTTCAAGGCAAAAGCGTGACCCACATGATTCCTGTCTGCATCATTTTTACTGCTGTAATATAATTGGTATTGATGTTCTTGTCATCCCTGCAGCAACCGGCTGGCCAAAAAGACTGGAAGTTCTGCAGTAGACAAACTCACTGTCAGTACTGGAACTTTATGGGCCAAAAAGATATTTTGATTTGATCTGGGACAAAAGTGTTCTTATATTTCATCTTTTCTTTTGCAAATCCTGTAAAAATCCAGCAGCCCAATGCAAAGCATTTGCACAGTGTATCTCAATGAATAAAATACTGATAATGTGCAAAAATTCAAGATGTAATTATTTTACTACAGACAGAAATACTTATGGGTAAATTTTAAAGCCGTTTCCATTCTCTTGCAAAGGAGGAATGGCTTTGTCATGCATTTTTCTAAGGTAAGTTACAAGGAAAAAAACTTTTCCTCTACATCTGTCCTACTGTTCAGTCACTCACATCCTGACCCTGCATGGCTGGCTCATATCTAAGATCCCAGGCATACGTGGAATTCCTAGGATTACAAAACGTATAAGACTTCTCAGAATATAAGGGTGAAATTCAGATAATCTTGAAGGGCTTGAGAAATTTAATTATATTACCCCAGATGTTTATATTATACATCCATTACAAACAAAAAATTATAGCTTTGTATATCACTAAAAAGAGCCAGTCTCTTAGATTTAACTCCATCTCCTGTAGATGAAAATCCATATTATGATGTTCCTCTCATAACAATATTATCACTTACAACGTCACTTAATGACACAATAAACGTCAATAGCAAACAGCAATTATGGAGAGAGAATGAGTGAGCAAACGTACCCCCGAAAGATCCAATGAACAAAATGAAAAAGACACAATTTTTTAATGTATTTGTTGGTGATGTATTTTTACTATGCTGATTTGCTATTTCTAAAAACTCCTTTGGAAGCAGAATGTTTTAGAGCACCTGCATTATTTACCTGTAGCTTCTCCATAGCTGGAAACGTGTCTTAATGCTGCTAACGACAGACAGCTAGACTCCGAAACAACCAAACAATTTAGGAACTGCTGTCTCCATCACTCCCATTGCTACCCAGAAGCTGCAAAGACAAATATACTTCTACTATACTACAATGATTGGCAAGACTGACTTTTTTTCCTCTTCCTCTACAAAAGCAGCATTTTTTGGATTATTCACTGGATGTTTCAAACAGAAGATCTGTTTCAATTCATAGTTTTGAAAGCTATTAAAATGTTTAGCAGAATGGCAAGATGGGGAAGAAAGTAAGTGCATCTTTCCATTCAAAAGAAACGAACAAAAAGCCGTAACCCCAAAACCTCTTCAAAGCACATCCTACTAGATTAAAATATTTGTTTTGTTTTGTTTTTTTAAAGGGGAGGTAAAAAGGTTTTATTCTTGGATTATAATTTTTCTCTTGTTCACATGTCCAAAGAACTGCTGAGAGCCTAAAGTAAGCCAACACCTAAGGAAGGAAGATTCTTGTGCTCTAGAAGAAAAGCCCTGCTAACCGGGCTCATACGGTTAAGGAATTTAAAAATCCATGCTTAATATAGGAAGACAATGTTAAACCTAAACAGAAAATCACATTTAAAAGTAGAGAATAAAGGCAAGTGCAGATGTTAGGCCAAACCTGAAGGCGAATGGACAGAGACAGGTTCCCCAGGAGGGGCAGTTTCTTTGTGCCTCCACAAGGAAAAATTCAAGCACTTTTTCTACACTTTTACCCACGTCCATCATATCTTACAGCACTGTAAAAAGAGACAGCCCAGAGGAATTTACAGTGCAGGACTGATAAAAGTATCTTTTTACCTCCCTTGAAACTAGGACCACCATTTGTAACATTTTCTAGTCATCAGTTAGGAAGGTGCAGGTTACTCTATAAATTAACCAGGAAGGCTATGAGCTGCCTGCCCCCTGGGAAGTACCGATTCAAAACTCATTTCCAGCTGTGCATGCCTCACGTGCACAATTAGTACCTCTTGTCAAGTGGAATGAGTCATCTCTTTGAGATATTCCTACTGAAATAAATTACTGAAATCAATAAACTGAATGCAACCATTCACTCCCTTAAACACAAAGTATTTCTTCTTCCCTTCTTCCATATGCTCTTGTGTAGGTAACCAAGAAGTCAAGGATTTCAAAGTCAAAATTGAAGCTCATGATATATAAAGAAACATTTGTTGTTTATTGATAATTTGGAGTACCTAGTTGCTTTGCTGCACAAATCTCTTTTCTTATAACAAGAACCGCGTGAATTCGATGAGAAACTTTTCCCAGCACTGACATGTTCTGCAGTGCTACACTCCTTACAGAAACAGAAAGCCTCCGGGAGAAGATCATTACTTTAGCTTTCCACAAGGTGGCATAGTTTCCTTTCTGGAAAGATAGCACTCCTTAGTGATTTCCATTCCGGAAAGCAAAATTTTTCATATATATATTTTTTTTTTAAGTTCAAAAGCTACTGACCACTGTCATCAATAGGTTTAAAATTTGGCATCTCTAGCAAGGTTCTTTTTAATGAATTTTCTCAATAGAGAGTTTAATGAGTTTTAAAAGCTCCATTCTCCTTGGCTCAAATGAAAAAACAACAAAAAAAACAAACAAACAAAAAACCAAACAAACCTGTGCTTGCTGCCACACAAAAGCAAGCTTCAAACAAATAAACTTAAGGTAAATCACGTACTAGAGGAAAGACCAGGGGCTAAAAAATCTGATTTCTCAAAGTCTCAGATTATCATTTTCAAACCCTATCGAAGTTCTTTCAGTCTCACAGTACTGGGGGTTAAACGGGCTACCAAGACACTCACCTGCCCGGGGTTACAAACTCATGCATTTCCCCCCCCTCCAGCCCGCCTGTCTGTGGGGGCATTACACATCCCACAGTGTTTTCCGCAGGTTTGGATTTGCTCCGGGGTTTCCGGATGAGTTCCCAGCACGGTGGCGGCTCGCCCTTGGTCCCTGCGAGCGGGCGCGCTGCCACCGCGCTGTGCATGGCCTCCGCTCGGTGCCCACGAGCGGGCCGCAGGCTGCACCCGAGCGGTTGAGCATCACGGGCAGAAGCGTCCACGGGGTCGCTGCTGGGCAGTGACAGACAGCTGGTAATGTACTTGGACTCAAGGACTTAAAAACCACACATACAGTTCTCTTCTATTTCTAGTCTTACTCCTCTCAGTCACTTCTGCTGTGAATATTTCAGTGCTCAGCTATGATGAATCATTTAAGGATAATCAACACGGTTTTGCCTAAACATGAGAAACAAAACCTGCTGATCCAGACAAAAGCAGGCAAGCTTTGGGCCTGCATCCATTTCACTGATACAAAATGAATATTGGTTTGTGAATACTGCAGTTTAAACAGCCAGATAAACAGGGAAGAGAGATGAAGACACGAGCGTTATTTGTCTGTGCACTGGGCAGAACGGGCTTCTACTTTACACAGCGCAAATCACCCAGTGAAGAATCAGACATACCAAAATACTGCCTCCTCATAACGCCCTCCATACCGTAAGTCTTATCTTGAAATGAACAGCCTTCTGGTTATGAGGACTGCTACCTAATGCTCAGTCACTCCTCCACTCCATGTACTATACTCAGAATTTACTGCTTGTCATGATAATGAGCACAGCTGAAACCGTCGCTTTCGGTTATTTACATCTGATTTAAACATCACAAGCCAAATAATCAAGTTGACAAAGACCTTTAAGTTCCCTGATCAGTCTGTTTCTTCTCCTAAAACGTTATCAGTAATGCTATTATAACTACCAAACCTGTTATATACTGTTCTTCTGCACATAAACAGCTTATGCTCCTGTCAATCATTGCAGGTATATGGCAGAGCCAAAACACTTATTTAAATTACTTGGGTTTCCAATTACAGAGATTCACACACCTCCTTAAAAACGGATGTATGAACATGGCAGAACCATCAACAAGATAACTGAATGACAGATCTGGAAATACACATACCTTTTGCTTCTCCTCTTCCCTCAAATGCCTTACACTGCAAGAGCAAAGGCTCTGATTTGAATATGGTGTTTGTTCACATAACGGTCTCATTTTTCTTGATAAATGTTACTCTCAAACTAGGCTGCGTTCTCTGCTCTAAAACACCAAGGTCCTTGTTCTGAAAAGCAAGCTCCTTGCTCCTAGCTGTGGTTCAAGCAGCCACACGAACAAGAAGAGGTATTTAAAAAAGGGAAGAACTCCGGAATTAAAGAGCAAATTCTATCACTGAATCTCCTCGGAAGCCATCCAGCCGTGACAAACAACAAGGCCCTCTCTGCTCAGGATAGGAAACTTGCTTAGCTGTGTGAGGGGCCAGTTACTACAGCTGGACAGTAGAATCTATAACTGTAACACTAAGTTTCTTAGCTTAGGCCATTTTAAAGTAAGCCACACTTAATGCTGACCAAACTGAGTGAAGCTTTCAATCTGCAAATAAAGTCAGTCCAGGTGGTGCCAAAATACTAACATCACCTCGAGGAGGTAAACTTAATTTAACACGCAGGAGATGTTTTGAACCTTGCAAGTTATGTTTACAATTTCTGAATTTAATCGTCATCCCACTGTAGATCATCTTACAGACCTTGGCTTCTGGATCACTGTTGATGCTACAGGAATCATCATCATCAGACTGCGGAGCATTTCTGTTATGGAAAAAAAAAAATCCATCTAAAAATCATATAAAGATTAGGGCAAATCACAGCAAAGCACAACATGGAGCTGGTCACGCCATGGGGACTTCTGTAGACATTATACCTGAGCTTCAAAGACGCATAGCGTAATGTTGCTCCTTCAAATTCTTTTAGACTTGGGTCTGGGTTCACAGTGGCTGCATGCAGATCCTAGAGATAAAGGTAGTACTATTAATATAATATTAAGTACACCACCATGTTACTTCTTATTTCAAAGGGAAATAAAATCCTCCCTGCAAAGAAGCGGATAGTATTACTGGCTGAAGTTGAAAAGAGGCATGCATATATTCTCAAGCTATATTTCATTCAGTGCAGGCATCTTATTTGTTACATCATGACAGTTGCCCTGCTAGCTTAGGCTGAATCCATTCCAAGTGGAAAGATCAGAAAAAGGCAGCATGTTTGTGAGCTAGACATCCCTAGCAATACCCCCATTTACTTTGGCCTATGTTATGAATGATATTCATGGAAAAATAAAAGGGGAAAAAAAACAGCCACTGCCATGCAAAAAACAAGGGTAATAGTATTAAAGGGTCTAAAATCTGACAATATACTTGCCTTCCAAATGTCACTATTAATCTTTCCCCCATTCAGAACAGCAAAATCACTCCATGGCTGTTTCTAGACATATAATTATTCACACAGGAAGAAGCACATTGATTAAAAAAAAAAAAAAGAAAGAAAAAGAAAAAACACAAGACACTGTTGTTAGCATTGATATTTACAGGATGGGTTAGGGAACAGATCACCTCAAACTTCAACTAATTACTCCACTATACCATGGCATTTGGAGGAGGGGGAAGAGAGAGAAGACATGCCTCTACAATTACTTACCAAAACAAATGATTGAAACAAGGAAAGTTAATATAAATTAGGAACGGACAATGAGATTACTCTTTAACTATGATCTTAAAAGCAAGCAAAATGAATCTGAATATGAATGTTGGCCACAGCTGCTACAGCCTTCAATAAAGAGCAGTTAAGCAGAAAATGGGACTTCCGTTTGACTGGCAGAGACTAACACTACTGGATCTAGAAATACTGAAGTACAGGGATACATATAAGAATATATGCAAAGTAAGGATGAAATAACTTCCAGAGAAAAAGCACAAAAAAGGACAGTGGAGAGAAGGAGGATTAGGAAGGAGTGCAGAGAGACTTCTGGATGAAAAAGTAGTTTTGTAAAGCCTGAAAGCCGTCTTAAAACAACATTGAGGAAAAAAAACACCCACCAAACAAAACACCCACCCTTTCATCTCTCCATTCAAAAGTGTCTGAGGCAGTCACTAGTAGAAACAAGCAAGCGGGCGTTTAGCACTACAGCAACTTGAGGTCCATCCGTTCTCTGTAAAGCCTGGGAGGAGCAGCTAATGTCGGAGTTCACCTCTCTCCTTCCCATGTGAGGACAAAAATCCTGCAGCCCTGAACCAGAGCCAGGTGGGACAGGAGAGCCGGCTGCTTAGAGACCCAGAGCCACCTCCTTCTAGCTCCACTAAGCTCCCAGGTACTCTGGCAACTAATGGGCCCTTTCAAGCTGAGCTCCTCCAGGTGGCCCAGCTCAGCCCCGAGACAATATGGTACCTACTAATACAGCTTAACGCATTCATTTGCGCTGTGGGTCCCTCACTTCCAAAGTGTTCTCAGCACATCCCCACTGGAGGATTTATTTGTGAAAACAACTCCTATGAGCAGCTCTTCCCACACATCTTTGAACTAATTAATAGTTCTCAGCTTTTCTTACTAAGCTCTGCATTTTTAATCATCAGCTTCTAGTAGCTAAGTCACCTATGGAAGAAATACTAGAGTTGATCCAGGCCTATGATGAGCTAGACTTTAAGACGACATAACAGCCATCCCCGCATTCTGCCGTGGTCCCAAAGAAGCTCTTGCTGAAAATTAAACCTTATGGCTTTTTCTCTGCACAGGACATAGGAAAAAGGTAGCAAAACCCCCTCTAAAGGTTGGAAAGGAACTTTTATAAACACAAGGATTCACAAAGGAAGTTATTCAGCAACACATGGGAGAAAAGAGTCATTTAAAACTAAGTAAAATTTAATCAACTGTCCCAAACCAAATCAGATTTTCATGCTTTTGAGAGGGAGGAGGGGAAGAAATGCTCCAGGTTCCTCATGGTTAGCATCTATTAGCATTTATGTTAAATTTGCAGAATTGTCACCTAACGCTAAACCCATAATTGCTTTGGATTGAAATTTACTGATGAAAATGACAGATCATCTTATGAACAGAACACTGCCTTATAGCATACACCAGAGTAAAATATTTTTTCATTTTCCCTTTTTAAACCTTTTTTGCCACTTGTATGCAGTAAAGCATCATTTCTCCTCACCCAGATTTTCTCCGACTCTCTGTTCAACAATACTAAACCATTTTTCTTTATATTAAATATTCACGGTGTGTTACAAAATAAAAATGGCTGACTTTATCTGTTCTTTGTGGACTGTCCTCAGCTGTGAGCCACATTCTACCAAACGAAGCAAAGCTTCGGTATGTCACGTCATTTAAGAGGCAAGGACACAAAGGAAAACAAACAAGGAAACAAGACAGAGGGTCAAAAAGGCATTACTCGGGGGGTGGGGGAGAGTGTTACTAAGCGTTTATTTGACAAACCCCAAAAGCTAAAACAGCCCAAATAAACTCATCTCCAGAGCAGCACATAATGCTTCACAGATTAATGTGATAAAGATAAAAGAATCTTTTACGGACACACAGAGGTGTATTAGGACAGACACGTAATGCTGCCCATGCCAAGCTTCAATCCTAGATTATATGCTTTCATCCATCTGAAACTTATACATCTCCTAACCTTTTGAGGAAAAAAGTAATACATATTCTGACACAGAGGAACAAGCTAAAACAGCCTTTCCAACCAGATTATCCTGGAGCACAGGCTTCCAGAGAGCAACACGTGAAACAGAAGTACTCAGATCACACGCGGTCCAATTGCAAGCTGGAAGCCGTCCACAACTGCTGCTGCCAATGGTAGCGCCTGGATAAAGGCGCTTGGGAATCCCTATTCTAGATCAAGGTCCCCATCTTTTGCGAAGGGTCAGATCAGGAATATCGCAGACTCCCAGGTTAATCCTTTACATGGAGGGAGAAGGGGAGCTCTTGGGGTAGGCTACGGTGCAGTGAACAGGGACACTGCAAGTGACCTGGAGATGATTAGTTGCTAGAGTTAATAATGTTAAGTATTGATCAGGGAGAGATGAAAATCCGAGGACTACTGATAGCTGACACACTGTTGAAGTCTAGATTACAAATTATTTCATTTCTACTATCTCTTAATCTTACGGTGTCACTTACTTTCCTCGTACTGTCCTATAAAGTGGGTGTGCTCAGAACGAACTGACTCCTAAAGGAGTCTTCCTTCAATTCTGCCTTAAAAAAACTCAATTATTTTTATTTGAAGAAATACAAGACTCTTTTCCCAGCAGTTCCCACTAGAGCTTCAGCTACACCCTTTGGTTGGAGCATTTCCAGAACTGGGCTGCGTAGCCCAAGTGCTGAGTCCAATTCAGTCTCACGTTGAACTGTTTTACTGTAAGTCTTCTGATATTTTACTGCAATGCTATCTTTACGGTGACTGAGTCAAAAATCAGTATTATTTAAATAATGATACAATGTTAGAACCTTATCAATGAAAATAGAAATCCTCAAGAGACAATTACTTAGCATATAACTGCAATTAAAATTAATTGTATAATATTGGCATATTAATGTAAATATTGGAAGATCGTTAATCATCTGTGACATCTTTTACACTACTGTATAGGGTCTTGATACTGCCAGTAGAGCCGCAGGTGCACAAAGCTCTGTTGGAGTAGACTCTCTACCGCGTTATAACTTCTATCACATCAAAACCTAAATGAGCCTACTGCATACTCATGTATATTGCATTTCAGAATGACTCCTCAAATGTCTTGTTGAATACATATACGCTATATTAAAATCAATGTTGTCTTCATTCAGACATTTCATGTTCTTGATAATGACGCTGAGAATTAATGATCATTGTTTATAATCACAAACCATTCTCTGTTTAAAGCAAAAACAAAAACAAACAAAAAAAACAACCAATGGATAAAGGTACATCTGCCAAATTACTACCAGGTCTGAAACGTTTCACTGGAAAGACATTTTAAATAGAGACAGAAAAATACTTGAAATGAATACACAAATCTTCTCTCTCTGCAATTTACCATCTGTATTGATTTCTGTGTTCCCGTAAAAGACATCTATAACTTACTAACTGAATCCCTGCTCTCCCAGATCTTGGAGTAAGAAAAATATTTAATAGTGAAGTTATATCCCTGACATGCACGTTACAGGAACTAATACTAGAAGCACGTGCAGCACTTTACATTCAGCATCTCTAGATTTTTTCTTTTTTTTTTTCCCCCCTATCTGAATGATAACAACTGCTGTTCTCCACGAACCCCTCTCAAAAAAATTTCCAATGTCTTTGGTGCACAGTGCAGTTCACAGGAACCTGACTGATGAGAAACATAACTAAAACGTTGTGGTGAAGTTTGCAACTTCATGAGTAACATCTATGGACGCGTCTGAGCAATCTTTCTAAAATTATGGATAAGAATGTATGTGTTTAAGCCTACATCGGGCAAAAGTTTCAGGATCAAGACCATAAAGGAGCTTGAATGTCCTTAACTCCTCTTAACCTTCATTTACTTTATTTAGGTGCACATATAAACGAAATCAAGAACAGAACAGATATCATACCTGATTACATCAAAACAATCAAGGATTGGCTGGTCCCAAGCCAAAAATCAAAGCTCATACAAAGGCTTCCATTAAGATCCTAAAACTTTAGACCTTTTCCTGAATAGTTAACACGAAAAAGGACTATATTTCAAAACAATTTGATTTTGTATTAGAATTTCATTCTGTAGAAGACTCTCCAATATGTTAAAAGAAACTGATTGCATTGTTTGCAGCATACTCTTCTTTCTGAGGATTTATTTTATATTTCTATGTCTATGACATCAACCAACCTTCTGGATTGTCCCTGAAGGTTTATTTTGAAAGGCTGTAAGGCTGTACCACGTATTGCTCTCTCTGCCCATGTAGAAGACAAAGAGCATTCTTTCCTTCTGTTTCAAGGTAAAGACCGACTGCAATGCAGTGATACACTTGTACAGTTATGTTATGCTGGCAGGATGTTAGGAGGCTTACATTTGAGAATACCTGATGTTTATTTAATAGGAACTATCCTGTAAAGAAAATGGCATCTCAAGTGAAGACTCATATGTCTCTGGGTGACACTCCTACCAAATGAACCAAAAAGAAAGATGATGTAATTACAAAGAGTCTAGCCAGAAGACTATTCACGCGTAAATATTTTATGTATGCTGTAACTGTATAATGGAGTAATGCTTCAGCACACGTTAGAGAACCTCAGTAACTTCACAATAATCACACATTGGTTGTCTAATTCATGTGAGATATGATGTTTGATTTCATAGTACATATTCACAGTTTAGGATGCTTCATGATTCCTGCCATTGCAAAATACATATGGAAAATGGATACTTACGATGCACTATGAACAGATAGCTATGCTATGGGATAAAATCATGCTCCGTACTCTAAAGCTTACTTTGATAACAATTAAACTTGCAACTTTTTACAAAAAGTTATTTCAATTCTCTTCACAGTATACAGTAGGTAAGAAGCCACAATATTTTACCTCAGTTTCTGGAGTGGGAGATGGAGTAATGGAGCCAAGCGATCCTTTCCGTGAGCCCTGGAGATCCGTTGGCATGGACACGGGACGTTGCCATTGAGTTGTTCCTGTTGGTATGTGCCAGTAGTAGATCCCAGCAATGTCATTGATTTTTTTCCAGCCAGGTGGTAAGTCTGGGTCTGTCTGAAATGAATGATCACTCCATATATCTGCTGAGACCAGAAAAAAAGAAAATGAGACACTGTTAATAAGATTCAGATAGCTTTTGCATGGGTCTGGCCCCAATGCGAACAATACACTGCTAGTACTGCTGCTGTTCTGCTCCTGTGCAAATAGACACAAGAAAAACATAATGAACTTTTGAGTTTCAGACTAATGTGACAAGGCCTACATTGTCTGACTTAGTCTACAGAGAGAGGAAAAAAAAAATCTGCACTTACCAAAGAGCTATTCTAAATGAGCAACTACCTAAGGCCATCAGATAAACTAGTTCTTCTAAGACTAGACTAAGATTTTGCTTCATACCGTAAAACACATCATATAAACCAGTCTTTGGAATTGTGGCGTACCTGCTGTGCCCCCTTTGTCACAGCACCCTCCTTTCTCAGTCTACACTAATGAAGCATTTATTCCTGCTAGTGAAAATCAGTTTATCAAACCAGGAAAAATGAAACCAATCAATCAATCCGCATTGGCTTTTATTTATAACTTACAAAAGACTGCTTATTCCAAATGATGAGAACAAACAAAATAGCTCGTTTCACACACAAACCTGATTGTCTCATGGGAATGTATTGTTTTGAATTGGTTTTACAATGTGGTAAGGAAAAAACCCCAAACTCAACAAGAATGCCAGCACAGGGATGAAATAGCGGCTCTGCTTGCAAATCTCCTGTTAAATTAAGAAGGGGACAGCAAATCATACGATAAATCACAGACATTCCCAGATTTACACGGCTTTATAGATGGATACAAGGGATGTCACCAGCAGAAAGCACATAGTGTCTTTTAGAAAGGTGGGGGCATCGCCTGCGTGCAAACCAGCTGTGTCCCGGCAGCAACAACTATCTCCTGCTGGATACACGCTTCCTTGAGGCTGGGAAGGGAGCCAGTATTCTTTTAAACTTCTCAGCTAAACCGCTTTTCAGCCTATATGCTATTGAACAGCTGTTATGCTCTACTATAAGGACTGTCAAGCCGCAGAGAAAAACAAGTAGCCTCCCAGACCGAAGTTTCACCAGCCCTTGAGCAGACGTGACGACTGCTGGCACCGGCACAGCGGACTGAACTAGCGTGGGGAAATATAGGAATAAAGAAAGCACCGTATCAACGAGCAGTTGTTCATCTAATCTGCCAACTTGCTTCTAACCTCCAAAGAGAGTCCTCAGAGTTCCCACAGGGGCAGATAAAGAATAATCACGCCCATGGGGAAGAAGTCAACCGCATCAGAAGTAGTTGTTTGACTCCTGTTACGTTTATTTATGGAAGATATTGAGGTCAGTTACTCGAAACTGATCTTTTATTTATCGTGTAAAATGCAGAAAAAAAGAAGAACGAGATCATCCCAGTCTCCTGTTTTATATCTTTCTTCTTCATGCCTTTTCTGAATTACAAGTTTCTTGTGTCCTCAAGTCTCTTGCTAGGCATTTTAGCACTTCTGAGGCCCATTTCCGAAGCCCTCTCATTTCCGCTGTGTTTATGCACATGCATACACACACAAATGGTATGATAACCTGGCCTGACTGTTACATGCTATTTGGCAAGCACCAGACTATCTCTCCCATCGAGCTACTTACAGCTCTTAAGTTACTGATTTACAACTCCAGGACTAATATGAGCAAGTTCTGCAAAAAAGAAACTCGACAATAGCATTACAATTATATTCAGTAACAAGTCTCGTGGACCACAACTCACGGCCCCATATCTCAGATCAGTAATATTCACAACATATAGTACTAGATAGATCTAAATTGAATAACTTTGAAGTAAAAGCAGACAAAACTGACAGCAGAAGGACAACTGTTAATGCAGAGAGGTAAAACAACATTTCTCCAATATTTAGTTAGGAAAAAAGTTATCTTGCGTGTGAATGAACGCTTAGAAATAGACCACGTAAAACGCTCGGGAGCATTCTGAGGTAGAATTAGGAGAATACCACTCATCTGAGTAACACTCATTCGCCTTGAAAATTTATCTATCAGCAAAAATAAATACACTAGAATATGTTTGCACATGCTTTGAGATAAAATTAGGGAACTAAACTTCAGATTTCTTTTCAATTAGCACATCTCTAATTTCAGGGAGCTCTGCTTTCTACGCAAAACAACTATAACTTATGCCTGCATGGGATGTGCATGTCACCATCAGACCCTTTGATGAACGTGGTTGAACGGGACAGAGCCAGATTGCGCCTGTTCAGATTGTGACGCTGTTCCCAGAGCGTCACAAATCTCTCAGATTTTTCATAAACCAGCCAATTAAGGGAACAAAAGTTACCTATGCAAACGTACTTCAGAAAAATGAAATGCTCCCCCTATAGCCCTCCTGTGAGCTCACCTCAGCACCTGACAGGCTGATAGGGATAATTTTTCAACAGATTGTGATTTCCTACCGTCATGACCTGAAAAGCCTCCCTAGCTCACTGGCTGTTCTAACAGATGAGAGAGTTCATTGAGCAAGTCAAAGGTAATGAACTCTCTCAAGAGACGTGGCAAAGGAAAGATAAAAGTAAGAGTCAACATACAAAACCTGACATGATAGATGTACGTGCTGATGTATCAGAGATCTATTACAAGACACCAGTGGCTTTTCTGTATTTTAATAAAAAGCTTTCCCTCTGAATTCCAAAGACCCTGTCCTATGGCACGACAGCGAGTCAAACTCGGTTGCACAGGCTGCTGTGAGAACGGTCCCTTCACAGGGCAGCGTTTGGCAGGGAAGAGCGAAGCACAGAATAAATGAAGGCACCACGCTGATATCCTGTTGTATTCAACAGCCTTTTCAGTCCCAACCTTCTTGCAATACGGAAAGCGACAGCCACAAGATGGAGGAGAAAGGAAGCAGGTATCTGCAAATCAAAGCAATTTGCTTGACGTGGCATTAAACAACCTGCTTGTAACAAACCCAAGAGACAATAGGACTGGATATGTTAGACTTCCTCATCTGACATCTAGCACTCTTATTGTTATGTTTGAAAGGTTGCGGAGGTAGAAATATAACATGGAAATGGTTCCTTCCTGTCTGCAGATGACGAAGCCCTGAAAGCTCCCTCAGTGGTAGAGGATCCATGGGGGCTCAGAAACTTTTCTCTGATTCCCTCTCAGACATCCCCAGGAGATGAAGTTCCACTTGGCCTCTTCCGCACTCCTCTTCAATGATTTATTGATGAAAACTTCTGGCTTTGACTTGATAAAAACGTAACTGTAGATGGCTGATACCGAACTGTTTTAAATCTCAGTGACTTATGGTACAAACAGGCCTCCCAAATGGCAGACACGAGGCCATGAAAGGTGATACGGTCAAATGAAAACCCTAGAAATACTCTTATTGAAACCAGGAACTGAAAATTTCTGTTCAACAGAAGCACGCTTATCACGATTAGGAGCCAAAAGTAGAGAGATGCTCAAAGGAACAGGGCCACACAATTGCTCATAAAGCTTCTGATTTTAAAAATACAGTTGTTTGGTAATACAGAAAGCATGGCTTACTACAGAAATTTAGAGGACAACTCAAAAAAGCATGCACCTCTTTTTTATTGGGGTTGGTTTATTTACCATGCATTGCATTACAGTAAGCCATGATCTCTTGAAAGGCTGTAACGTAAGAGGTTTCTTGCATAAAATGCATAAAGCAATAGGATTAAGAAAAATAATTCTGAGCGCCACTGTAGCTTAACAGTATGAAAAAGCAAACACCAGCTTTCTTTAATGAATTTGACTTTATATTATCTGTGTAACTTGTCCTCCTACGGCAAGAAAGAATCAAATCCTTATCAGTGGAGAGACACTCCTGAAAAGTACCTGTTTCAGCTCTCTGCAAAGGAACAAATTATATCTTCATAGTTGAAAACCTAGTCTTTAAGTCATGCAGATTCATACAGCACAAGAGACCTCTGAAAGCCTCTTCTTTTTACAGAGAAACTTGCTCGATAGGGTGACTCCACTGCCTACAGGGACTTGGGAGATGAAGCCCAATGTCAGCTCTAATTGTAGCAGGGAGGAAAGCATCCCAGGCACAGCCGAGCACAGGCAGCCCGTTGGCTGATCCTTCACCCTGCCTTACATCCCCGCCTGAATTGCGGATGCACAAGTGCTGTCACTAGCAAGGTTGGCCCATTGACCTGGACACACAGGCCAGCTCCTTGCTGGCGATTCACTACCTGGAAATCTGCCTGAGATAAGTGTGGACTGTCGCTGTTCGTCTTCTGAAACTCAGCACTGCCAGCTTAAAGGTCAATACTGTTAGAAATTCACAGCTCAACTTCTGCAGGCAGATTCATTTGAAAGGGCAGGTCACAGAGAGAGAGGACTGATATTTTCAATTGGAGTTTTGCCTCAGAAAAGACAAGACGATTAAAGCCGTGTCCATACAGGGGAACCTAACCAAATCTGCTACCCGTGAGGGCACTGCTACGGAAGAAGCATGACACAATTCTGGTCTAAAATCAGGACAGCAAGAGAGAAATGGCAGAGGATTTTGAGGACCGCAGTAAAAGAACTACATAAAAATATGAAAGAAATAATTTAAGACAAGAAATTAACTTCATTTGAGGAAAACTGAAAGACAAAAAAAGCAGGCTCCACTGGGCTTTTCTGCTTCCATTGCTTTCCAGCAGCTAGGAGCTGGCAAGTCCCTCTGGAAATCCTCTACCTAACCCTTCCTTAGAATTGGCACCACAGTCCCCTTCCTGAGGGGTCCAACACAAAGGGACACAGAGCTGCTCCCCTGAAAACTTTCATCACTGGGCTCTGCAGAATTCAGAGAGAGGAACCTGCGCGGTTCATTCCTCCATATAGTCTCCATTTCATTTGTTCGGGGATTTAGCAATGCAGCAATTATAGAAACATTTCTAAGAGAACAGAAAAACAATGACAAAAATGAAATCATCAGAAGTAGGAGCCCAAGGTGAGGGCAGTAACTGAAAAGCCTCACCATTTCATTTTAAAATCCAATGGGGAATTCATTTCTCTCTAAAAATTAAAATAAATAG